TGATGAAGATGAAGTCCCAGATTATGAAATAGATGATGAGGATAAGGAAAAAGACATTCTCAACAAACTTGATATTCAAGATCATGAAAATGTCGAAAAGTTCATTGATCAAGAAACAATGAATCCGCAAAGAACAAGACAATATCTTCGTAACATTATCAAGAAAGCAAAAACAAAGAGAAATCAACTAAACGGCCAAAAAGCACAAATAACAATTAGATTTACAAAAAGGTGACATATCCTCTGCAGAAAGACAATTAAGAAACAAACAAATAGACGATTCAAGAGTAGTATTGAATCAGTATATAAATCGTTATGAAACAAAACTTAAAACAACAGTTGGACAAGGTTTAAGAAGAAAACAAAAAGGAGGAAATGTGTTTTTCAATGATCCAAAATATCTTTTGAAACAACTCGAACTTATCATTGGCGAAATGACAGCTGGCAATACAGGTATAAAAATGAGAAACGCAGGTCAAGCTATTCTGGACACTTCTAAGGTCAAAAATAGTTAATAAAAAACAATACAACGAAATTGTAAAGAATTATTTTAAAATATAATCTAATTATAATAAATAATGGAAAGAGAAATTGTTCTGTCATCTTACAATAACAAATCTGGAAAAAAAACTAACCATCAGATTTTACGACTGATTTTGCCAACACTATAGATCTTGACGATAATCGTCATTACGTCATTGGTCTTAATAGAATCATAAACATGAGTTTCACATGGTTTAATGTTAACAGTTCACTGGATAACCAGAAGATAAAATATAGTAAAGATAATGGTTCAACTTACACTGAAATCACTCTACCAGCTGGTGTATGGACTTATAAGAGTTTTAGTGAATACATTAAATCTCAAACAAAAATAGGTGATAAAACGTATCCAATAACATTGATATCTGATGATAGAATCTTTAGAGTTGAAATAACACTAGCCAATAATTATAAGCTCGATCTTCGAGGCAGTAATTTTAATGAAGTTATTCGTTTTGAAAAGGTTGTTCTAAGTTCTGGAACTCATATTGGTCCAAAGATGCCCAATTTATCACAAGACACTGATATTATAAACAGTCATTGTGATCTCATTGATCACAGTACGGTTGATGGACAAGAAAAAGACATCATCATCTGCAGCTTCAGTACCAGTGTTCTTAATCCATCGTATAGTTTCACTCTTGAACCAAAAAGAGTAACTTATAGTCCAACTTTCACCACGATATATTTGAATTGGTTTTGTGTATTTATCATCATAACAACAAACGACTTTATAACCGTACCCACAATCAGTATGTTTTTGATAAGCTTGAGTAAAAGATTTTTTTATCATAAGGCTGACATCCATGAATTTTCTCAGTTATAGCTTCAAAGTCAGCTTAAATAACAAATGGAACTGGTAATTGTTTATAATAATTATTAAATTTTAATATATTATTGTCTTTAGTAGGCATTTTAACAGCTTGAGTTCCATTCATAATAAGACAATTGCCTTTATGATCATTTAAAACTCTTTCAGAACTGAAACATTGAAAACAATAATGACAAAAATGCTTTCTACCATTATGTTTTGTTATATCATGCATAAATCTGTTAAAATATTTTATTAAAAGATAATGTGAATCGTGTTCATTTATCAGTAAAATATTCAAATGATCTTCATTTCTTTCTTTACTAACATAAAGTGGATATCTTTGTTGATTGTCATATCCAAATACATTCACATTTATGCTATTTTGCTTTTCTATTTTATTTATTTGACTAAGTTTCACTGGAAATTCAATTCCTGAATAATCTAATTTATCAACAACTTCCTGTCAACTTTTTTAATTCTCTGAGGATACTTTTCTTGTGGATTCAAATGTCTGATATAACACCAACGAAAGCATTCATTATCCTTATTTTGCAAATTGGTCAAACCTTTTTTAGGATTCCTTAATTCTGGTGGTAATTCAATATAAGATGAACCTTTTGTTGGATTATAATGATTAAACTTTAAATAATGCTTATCAACTGAGTTAATAATCCAACCAGATCCTTCTGAAATCCATTGTGCTATTTTATTTAATAATTCTTGCTCTGTTAATTGCAAAGATTCTTCTATGTTTATTTCATTTATTATTGTTTGAGGTTTACTATTGAAATATACTTCGTTAATTTGAAATTCACCATCATGATTGACTTTTACAAAAGTTATTTTTAATGATTCAACTAATCTCATTACTTTCATTTCTTCTAATTCTTTATCAATAAATCTTCTTATAAATAATCTTGTGCTTTGCATTTGAATTAATGGATCTTTTTCATCTTTAATATTAATTTCATAAGATCTTGTGAATCCTTTCAAAGCTCTATTTGTTTCATTGATTATTGTTCTTTTTAGAGGAACAGGTTTTTTAGTTCTTGGTTTAGGTACTGGAGGTTTAATAATGTTTTTGTCATATTTTTTTTATCATCTCTGACAATCCCCACACGCTTGTTTTTATTTTTGGTTTATTAATTGGAATGATAGGAGGCTCTATGATTTTTTGTTTCATATTTTTTTCTTCATATTCTTGAGCCATCTGTTTTACACTTTTTTGTCTTTGTTGAATAATTGGTGATTGATGTTCATTTAAAATCATTTGAATCATAACATCTTTTGGAATTAATTTGCTAAGTAGCTCTCTCGATAGATTTTCTAAATTTTGTCTATTCATATTATCTATACTATTTGTAAACATTTTTTTTGATCTGGAATCGCTCTCCATAATTAAATTACGTGTTTTTTCTTAAAGTACTTTATCAAATTTTTCGTAATTTTCTTTATTCATACTATATATCAATATTTTTTTGATTCAGCAATACGCATTCTTAATTTTTATACTTAATTTTTCTTTAAGTACTTTTAAAAAATTTAAGCGTTTTAATTTGAAAAAAAGATTAAGAAGAGGCCATTTTGAGTCTGTTTTATGATTTTAATTTTTCCATAAAGTTTAAAAATTTCTGGATTTTTGGATTTTGTCATATCAGTTTACAGATTTATTCCAGATCATTTTTACAGATCGGTTTTACAGATTAGAGTTATATATTTTTCACGGATTATTTCAGATTTTTAGGCCCCAGGGTTGTTGGTCTATACTTCTCAGTCACTATACTACTAACGCAAGGTATATTGTCGCAACTCTGGTTTTTAACCTGTTAATTTGAGACTCCTTGTGTTTTGAAACAGACTTACATTGTCAAGAAACACTTGGTATGGAAAGTGGTACAATCACAGAGGAGCAGATAAGTGTCTCATCCCGTGAACAGAATGTCGGAAAAAGTGTAAGATTACATCATACTGGAAAGACCTGGGTAGCTGATAGGAATCGTTTAAATCAGTGGCTTCAGCTCGATCTCAGAGCTCAACACACTAAAGTAACACGAGTAGCAACACAAGGATCCAGTCAAAAGAATCACCGGGTGAAGAAGTACAAGCTACAATACAGCAACTATGGAGTGAGATTTCAGTACTACAGGGAACAAGGGCAAACAATTGCAAAGGTAAAACAGATCAGAGGTGGCGGAAGATTGTGAAACGTGAACTGCTCCCTGTACACCGCAGAGCCAAGATCATTTCTTAACTTAAACTTCCCACTTTGTGTTGTTTGTTAGGACAAGCAGTCCTCTTTGCAATCTTATTGAGTAGACAGAGCTTCATTACTCGATTTGTTGCAATGCATTTATCAGTAGTTGTTCAAAACAGTATGTTTTAGTCGATGAATTCGAAGCTTCAACGCCCCTCTAGGCAACCCCCTGGCAACCCCACAGTATGGGACTTTTGAAGATTGGGTCGTTCAATTCCCTCCCTGGGTTAAAATTGCGTTCAAATCACCCAATATTGAACGATTTATTTGTGTGATCAACAAAAGTCGTAGAATTTGGCAAAGTCATGTATTTATTTTTAATGGTGCTGTTGGGTTTTCGCTAATAAGCATCATTCTACGATGTCAAAATTGTCTTTCTAAGCCATTCGCTCACGAAAACAGACTCTTTACCTTTAGAATCGTGCAGGAAAGACTTGACACTTCCGTTTCAATTGCCCCACCCTACCCAGAAAGTAAAATTCTTTACCGTAGGGCATGAACGACGGTCAAATACCTGTACCGAGGGAGATATTGAGGCCTCAATTTGATCGGTGCATTACGACAAAAGAAAGTTTTATACTTTTACAACTTTTCTTTGCCGGCGTAAATCTCATCTACTCAGTTTTTAGTTAATTTTAGACTGATATTTGAAGAAAAATTTTTTATAAATTATGCCATACCATGGCATGGGATGAATTTCCTGAATCTAATCTCTCGTGCGATTATTCACGGTTTACCACACGAAAACATTGCAGAATGCAATTCTGTAGATATTATTTAGCAAATTCTCACGTATACAACACGGGCACGTACCGTACATTTTAAATCGAAACAACTAGTATTCATTTCACAATTATTAAGAAGGGCATTCAGAATCATCTATCCTGACCTGTCATATAGTGTAGCACTAGAAACAGCTGGCCTACCGAAACTTCACGAGAGGAGAGAAAAGATTTCAACCAATCTGTTTGACGAGATAGTCCGTAACCCTACCCATAGACTCCACAGCCTCTTCCCTCAAAGGAAGAGTTGTAGATACGCACTGAGGCGCAAAAGAGATTTCACTCTTCCCATATGCAAAACCGAGCGCTTGAAAAACAGTTTTAGTTTTAGCCATGTTTATAAGATGCAGATAATTTTCCTTCTTTCATCATCTGTATTTGTAAATATTCCGTAATTCAGCCTATGGCTGCAAGGTGTTTATAATAAAGTAGCTATCTATCTCTGTTATGATGCAGGAATTTAATGGGAACACAGACGAGAGCAGTGTTGTTTATCACGACCTACATCCACCAATCACAGCAAGGTACATACGTTTCCTACCAGTGGAGTTAAAAAAAAATACGATATCTATGAGAGTGGAACTGTATGGATGTCGGAAAGGTAAGGAAGATAAAACTCTTCCAAGTAGTGTAGGGGGCCTAACTGGCAATTCCGTTGAAGTCTGGGTCCGAGTGTCCCAGCCGAGGTTTATTTATTCATGTTGCATAGGTGTACGAGGGTGTCATAAGGGTTAAAATTAGCGTAGGTGTACGAGGGGGTATTAGGGTTAAATTTCGTGTAGGTGTACGAGGGGTTTTTAGGGTTACGGTTAAATTTCGTGAGAAGGGTGAATAAAAACATCATAACGGTTTTTCAAAAAACAAAAGAGTCCAAGATGGCGGTGGGATTAAGTACAACATTTGGTTTTGCATATGATTTATTTGTTCACTCTGAACGATATTTGAGTTGTAAGTAGGTAACATAAGCTAGAAAGGCTGTCATCATGTCTTTGTATAATTGATGGAATGTAGAATGTTCTCCCACGTTGGAATCATAAGTTTCAATCTCGTTAATGTATCTTGTCACTTGTCTACGTTTTTCACAAAGATCTTGCGTGGTAGCTTTTTCTTTTACAATGGCAAATAATTCGTCTAGGATGGTTCCGGCCCACTGGGGATTGCGTTCAATCTCTTCGTCCAAACAGTTGTTTTTCAGATGACATGGTGTCTGAAATGAATGTAGAAATGTAAGAAGAGGTTATACATAATCGTAAAAATGTCACTCTGATTGACAAGCTGTCATCATGTCACTGTACAATTGAAAAGTAGATTGTTCTCCCACGTTGGAATCATAGGTTTATGGCAACTTCCGCGCCGCCTGGGTCCGAGTGATTCGGCCAAGTGATTTCTAATGAAATATTCATATGGCGTAGGTGCGCGAGGGGGGTTTTAGGGTTTATTCATGCGGCGTAGGTGCACGAGGGGTTTAGGGTTGTTGGGGTTTAGGGATGTTGGGGTTAGGGTTGTTGGGGTTAGGGTTGTTGGGGAGGTTAGGGTTAGATCTCACGTGGGTTCGTGTGTAGGGTTTTTTCGCATCTCATTTTAAAAAATAACGGTTTTCTCAAGACAATGGGAACAAAAGAATCCAAGATGACGGAGGGGTTAACTCCAACACACGTTTTTCGCATACGCGTAATGTTTATTGACACACAACACAGGGAAAAGAGAATGGACCCTATATTGCGCGTTTGGGTATCGCGGATTAGACATACTAATCTAATCGACTTAGACTGTGAGCAGAAGTTGTATTTATAAGAGTCCCAAAAGGTTTCCACACACATGTGGTACAGGTTATTCAGGACATATGACTTTTACGTTTAAAAAATGTAAGAGATGTATTATCGTAAGACACAGGGCTTGACAAGCTGTCAAAGTGTTCGGGTAGACCTTGTCGCTATAAACTCTTGGTCAGTATTATAATGTCTGACTTTTACGATTTCTCCTTGATTGCGGTCAACGCGAATGGTGTGTACTAAAAGAAGAAGAAATAGAGAGAGAAGCGTTTTGGCAGGACAATTTAAAAAGAATAAGAGCACTCTAGAAACCAAAGTGGATAGACGAAATATGAGTGTTTATTATGAATGATACATAGTATCACGCAACTACCCTATNGACGCTCTTTGTTATCCGAACGCGTGAATGCTCTATTGCAGTAGCGGCAAAGGTGTGGCATTATCCGATCAGAAGTTTATCAAGGTATCACGACTCCCATTTCGTGTCACAGCGATACTAATGAAAAAATGTAAGGTTCTCTGCTTTTTATGTATTATTGTCTCACCACTTTGCCTAACCTATCACCGCCTCATACACCATTAACACCCTCTTCACCCGTGTGTATGATATCTTTGTTCTCGCTAGATTTTGACAATGTGTCTAACTTGGCACAGAGTTGATCGTATTTTTTCTCTAATTCAATCAATTCAGTTTTCACCCGTGTGTGGTGAGATATCTTGGGTGTCTTTTCTTTCCTGACCTCCAGTAATTGTCGCTCACTTTGTAGCTGATGTAGCAAGGATTGATATTGTTCTTTGTGTGCGGCAAGATTCTTTTGAATCTCTTGAATCGCTTGATCTAAGACCGTACATTTTACTTGATGGTATGCTTCTTTGACACGTTTCTGAGCCTCAGGACTTTGCATCTTACGGTACCTTTTCATTGATTTCAATATTTTGGGGAACGTTCCATTCTTGGCATGTTTTTTATATTCCTTCAACACATTTTCCTGATACTTTACGCGAGCATGAACACCATGCATTTTTTGTCGATACGATTTTAGAACCGCGGAAAGATCCTGAGTACTCGCCATCGTCCACACTCTACGTGAGCAGGTAAGAAATGAGTGTGGAGGTAGACACTTCGAATTTTATCATATTGTATACATCCTTCTCCGTTGTGTCTAACAAACTTTAAAAGAGCGCGCAATTTAAAATATTAATTATAATAATTCAAAGCGCGCGCTCATATAGAACCAAATCTTTATTTTTCTTATATACGAAACGAAACTGTCCATCTCGTTCATGTGGGATCGCATATTTTCTATTCCACCTCCTCCTCCTCCTCTTTCCTCCTCCTCTTTCCTCCTCCTCCTCTTTCCTCCTCTTTCCTCCTCTTTCCTCCTCCTCTTTCCTCCTCCTCCTCCTCTTCCTCTTTCCTATTCCTCTTTCCTCCTCCTACTCCTCCTCATTTCTCCTCCTCCTCTTTCCTCCTCTTTCCTCCTCTTTCCTCCTCTTTCCTCCTCTTTCCTCTTCCTCCTCCTCCTCTTTCCTCCTCCTCATTCCTCCTCCTCCTCATTTCTCCTCCTCATTTCTCCTCCTCCTCTTTCCTCCTCATCTTTCCTCCTCCTCCTCCTCATGCCTCCTCCTCTTTCCTCCTCTTCCTCCTCTTTCCTCCTCCTCCTCCTTCCTTTCCTCCCCCTCATTCCTCCTCCTCCTCCTCCTCCTCTTTCTTCAAGTAATATAATTTATTATTCACATGGACTCACTCGTTCTAGTCATTTTATTCCTCAACTTTACTCAGTTCTTGGGACTCATATACACTCGCGGTGAGATATTACCACTAACAAATGTGACAGTTTAAAACAGTTTATTACAGTGATACTAGATCATTCTATGTACACTCTTTCCTTCTCTTCCTCTTTTCTGCTCCTGCGCGCGCGTCCGGAATGCGGTCGCGTAGCGACCGTGGCAATGTTTCCACGTTTTAGTCATGTTTCGTCACATGTAAGTCCATATCATATGAGCTAAGTAAGTCTTTGGATTATACTCCTTGTAATTCTTCCAATCGCTTTATCACATATCGATGTCCAGGTTTTGTGTATTT